ATATATTACTGAGAATCAACATAAAAATCAATACTTACATATACACTAATAACTCACAGCTTTATAGAAGCCATCATCTTAACTTTAAAAAACTGGCTCCAGATAAAATAAAGGTGACTTGTAACCTGGGAGTTAAAACAAAACAAACAAACAGAAAAAAAGAAAAAATAGCAAAAAGAAGCTATCTGTCACAATCTGCCATTTACATAATCGGTGTAAAAATATTACAAAATTATTTCACTACAGTGGAAATCCACTTTATGTCCTTGCAATATGTCTAATATAGACACAAAATAGATGTGATGGAAAAAATTTAAACGAGATTACATATGCTGCCTATTATAATACATTTATATAAATATGCAATGTCACCTTAAATTTTTACCTCAAATATAGATTAAAGTAAAATTCAGTTAATGTTTACTATTCCTATTTTTCAGATTAATCTGAGAAAAATCACAAGTTTTTCTCAAACAAAAAAATGTGGACTCAGGTTCTGAACTCTTGTAGATGTGTAACATAGATTTGACTGGAAAAACAGGGTTAGCAAGGAGAGTAATGGGATATTAATAAAATGACCGATTTGTTGTCCTAGGTTTTCCTGGCCAGGAGAATGGAGAATGGAAAAACTGAACCATGAAATCAAAAAGGCATCTGTTTTCCAGGTTTCTCTTTGCCAATGTCTTGAGAAAAATGTTTGAACTTTCCTGTTGGCTTTGTATGCAAATAGCTCCAGATGCAAAGTGAACCACATCTAAGTTATTTGATTCAACATCTGCTGGTCCAATTCCCATTATTCCTTCTAAAGGGTCGGCTTGTGACAGACAGTTTAGTTTGCCTGGTATATAAGCCGTTTTGAATAAGCTAATTTGGATTAAAGTATCTATCTGGACCACTTCTTTTTCCCTTTGATGGTCAATGCATTCTAATGTGGTCTGTGTAGTGCTACAAGTAACTTAGAAACATATTGGAAAGGACAGTATTCAAGGTTTTGCCTCCCACCTCGCTTTCTAGACAATTTATATTTATACAGTTAAAAGTAAAAAGTAAACAGTCATTTGCCTCTAAAACAGCACCACCCACATTGTACACGATGGTAACAGGACAAAACTTTTTGGCCTCATTTTTTTTTCATGAAAGATTTAAAGCTAAAGTTATTGATAAAAGTGCTTGCCAACATTAACAATAAATTTTGTGAAACATCCTGTAATTTATGATGACAATTTTCATATGGCATCACTGAAAATGGAATGAGGTCCACATCACATGGCACTTAGTGTATGATACACAGTATACTTTAAGAACAGGTAATGAATGAATTTGTGGATAAATGAACACTCTAAATTTAATTTAAATAAACCCTATGGATTCAGAAACCAGAAAAGAATCAAAAGCATACTGAAACTAAACTAAGAATAATTGTGTAATGCTCCTATAATCTGAAAGGTCTAGTAAAGATAAACTCCTTCCTTCCAGAGGGTATGGTAGGAAAGAGAACTTGCATTGCAAGGCAAAAGTGGAAAAAAGGGAAGAAATCATAACAGCTATCTACCTATGTATGTCTACATCCTGTATATCTTTGCATTTATATATATATACATACACGTGTTGTATCAGCAGATAGACATTCATTTTGAATTTAGTTTCCTAAAAAGGACAGCTTTAACAGTCTTATGAAAATTTATAAGAAAAGATAGCAAATTATTTCAAAATGATGTAAAAAAAAAAACAAGAAATTTCTTAGCAAAAAAATTTATTTTTTATAAAAAGTATTAATGGCCCAGAGAGCAATATCCACACAGTAGGCTTCAGTGGGAGAGGCAGCATGCCTGCTAGAGCTGCTATGCTGCTTCCATAGGCGGCGGGAGGGAGCAGCACCACTTCCATGGGAGGCAGGAGAGAATCATGTGCCTCAGGGGCGCTGATGGGTCATCTCTTTGGTCAGCCTCCCCATCCCCGGGTGGTGCAGGGGCTGGTGTAGGGTGACCATGCAGGGGACTGGAAGAGCTCCCAATGGCCAATTCCTCTTCCTTCTTTGAAGTCCAGGCTCCCGTCAGGCACTCTCTTCAGACTCCCAGGAACATGGTTCCAGCAGCCCAACCCCTCCTTGGCTCCCTGCAGCCCCACCCCACTCTGCTCTCCCAGCCACCCACCTGTCAGGAGGCTGCCATGGCAACCTGCATGGGGCAGCATGGTCCTGGAGCAGAAGGTGGGGGTGTGGAAAGCAGCTCCAGTAAAGTTTAGTAAACCCCAGGTCAGCGTCAGGATTCAGCTGTGGGGCTGCAGGGGCATCTGCCTGGGCAAGACTAAATTGCGCTAGTCCCAGAGTCCCAACCAGAAGCTCTGTAGCTCCACCACCCTGTGAAAGACCATGATGTGAAGGTGTCCTGGATAATTTGCATATTCCTCTATTTTAGATAGATGATGATTGATAGATAGATGGATGGATGGATGAATAGATAGACAGATAGTCCCATGAGGACTCAACTCAAAAACTTACTGATATAAACACTATGCAAAATCTGGAATAATTTTCCTTTAAAAAATGTTTAGAAAAAATAAACAGAAAAAAAAAAAGAGGCAAAAGATATAGATACTAATATAATTGCTTTTAAATCACAATACTTTGAATTAAACTTTAGTCTAACTTCTACTGCTCTATACTATTCCTAGGTGACACCCAGTAGGACCAGGAAAGACAGTAAACACACATATACACAAAAGGAAAAGAAAAAACAACAACCAGGAAAATATAATTATTTCTAGTTCAGTTGTCTAAATTGGGAGTGACCATGAAAGATAACTGAGACCCAGAAAAAAATAGCTTCTTAGCTATCTTTGAGTAATTCTAAGCTTTCCAAAATTATTAGGTTTGCCTTTCTCTAACTTGTAACTGAAAGACTACTTGCCCCCAAAGAATTGAATAAAAAATAATTTAAAAAATTACTTTAAAGTAAATTTTTTATTAACAATAAAGAAAAAGCACTGTGCATTATTTATGAACAAGGCACAAAAGTAGATACTTAGGATTCAAAAAGATTCAAAACATAGTATTTGCCCTCTAAGGCAAGTAGAAATAGGAGACATACTGATAACATGTCAGCTGTGCATTTGTCATAGAAGGCCTTTATTATTTTGAAGTGTCATTACTTTATTCTCACTTTACTGAGAGTTTTGTCATAAACGGGTACTGGATTATCAAGTGCTTTTTCTGCATCAATTGATGTGATCATATAATTTTGTTGTTGTTAGTCCTCAGCCTAGGATATTTTTCCCATTGATATTTAGAAAGAGTAAAAGGGAGGGGGAGAGACAGAGAGAAAAACATCACCTGAGAGAGACACACTTACTAGTTGCCTCCCGCATGTGCCCCGACTAGGGTGAGGAACCAAGCCTGTGTACCCTTGACCAAAATGGAATCCGAGATCCTTCAATCAGTGGGCCAATGCTATATTAACCAATAAGCAAAACTGGCTAAGGTTGAATATATGATTTTTATCCTTCATTTTTTATGTGGTGCATCACACTAGTTGATTTGAGGATACAGTATCAACCTTGTATCCCAGAAATAAATCTCAGTTGATCACAATGTATAATCTTTTTCACATGTTGTTGAATTTGGTTTCCTAATATTTTGAGAATTTTTTTATCTATGGTCATCGGGAAGTTGGCTTATAATTTAATTTCTTTGTAGTGTCCTTTTCTAGCTTTGAAATTAGGATAATGCTGGCCTCATAAAATGAACCTGGGAATCTTCCCTCTCTTGAATTTTCTGGAATAGTTTGAGAAGAATCGGTGTTATATCTTCTTTGAATGTTTGGCAAGTTACCTATAAAACCATCCAATGCATGACATTTCTTTGTTGGGAATTTTTGATTACTACTTTGATTTCATTATTTATAATTGGTTTGTTCAGATTTTTGTTTATTCTTGATTCAGTCTTAGAAGATTGCATGTCTAAAAAAAAAAAAAAATGTATCTATTTTTTCCAGATTATCCTATTTGCAGTATTTTAAGTTCTTGTATTTCTATGGTGTCAGTTGTTACTTCTCTTTCTAATTTATTTATTTGGGCCCTTACTTTTTTCTTAATGAATCTGATGATTAATCAATTATGTTTATCTTTTCAAAGAGCCAGCTATTGGTTTCATTGACCATTTGTATTGTTTTTTAAGACTCTCTTTCATTTATTTCTGCTCTGATTCTTATTATTGTCTTCCTTCTATTCTCTTTGGACTTTGTTCTTTTTCTAGTAGGTGTAAAGAAGATTATGTACTTGATATTTTCCTTATTTCTTGAGGTAGGCCTATATTGCTACAAATTTCCCTCTTAAGACTGCTTTCTCTATATACCACTGATTTAGTATTGTGTTTTCATTTTCAACTCTTTCAAGGTATCTTTTAACTTCTTCATTGTTCTCATGTTAACTCATCACTATTAAGTAGCATGTTATTAAATATCCATGTGTTTGTGTGTTTCTCACTTTTTTCTTGTAATTGATTTCTAGTTTCATACAGTCATGGTCAAAAAAAATGCTTGATATGATTTCAAACCTCTTAAATGTATTAAGACTTATTTTGTGACATAACCTGTAGTGTATCCTGGAAAATGCTCCATTTGTACTTGAAAAGAATGTATATTCTGCTACTTTGGGGTGAAATGCTCTGAAAATATCAATTAAACCCATTTGGTCTACAGTGTGATTTGAGGCCACTGTTTCCTTGTTGATTTTGTCTGGAAGATCTATCCATTGATGCCAATGTGGTGATAAAGTACCTTACTATGATTATATTACTGTCCATCTCTCCTATTATGTCCATTAATAATTGCTTTATATATTTAGATGCTCCTATTATGGGTGCAGAAATGCTTACCCCTCGAGGGGTCTCAGACTGGGAGAGAGTACAGGCCAGGCTGAGGGGCTTTCCCCAGTGCACGAATGTCCTGCATCAGGCCTCTAGTGTTAAATAAGAAAAACTCTGAGTTACTGTATACTAATACCTGTAGGAAAAGCAGCCCAAGGAATAGCAGGAGATGTAGTTTGAGTTTCACCGCTTCCCCCATCAAAAACTTCTGCAGCCTAGAAAACAAAGGCAAAATTACTTTAGAATACCTGGAAAATAGAAGTGCTATTTAAGCAAACAAGCTTCCTGGTTCTACAAGCCTAGTCTTTCTAATGTACCACTCATTTTCAAATTCTCTTTGAATACTCAATTGCTTTTCAATCTTCATTACTATCAGCCCCCAATACTTGCTACCCCCAGTATTCATGTTACATTATCTTTAAGCAAAAATTTTCCGTACTTACTCAAATACCGTATATCTCCTGGCAATCCATTTTTTATTTTATATATTCTTATTTACATTTCCACTTATGAATGTCATATCTATGTACTTTAAACTAATTTACCACATTTATCCATGTACATAGAAAAACAGATTTTTCTTTAAAAGTCTAGAGACCAAATCTTTTTTCATTAATTAGCACAAGACCTAATTAGAAATCAATCTAAAGAAATAGAATTAATCTATATTTTTTAATAATCTACCAGCTGGACTTTCTCATTCAACATTTAGAGTCCTAAAGCTGGCATTTTAAATTAATAAGCCCTCCTATTAAACAGTTTTAAGATTATGGGACAATTACTAAAATGTTGAGATGTGTGTAAGAGAATAGCGTTTTCTGTCTTAAGTGTTCAAGTCACAGTAAAATTATTATTGAAAAAAGAACCATTATGTCAGTTCAGATTCTTCATTGAGTTCTCAGCTAAAGGCAAGTCAACTAGAAAAATCTACCACAGGAGACACATGATTAGAATTGCTATTCTCTACAAACTATGAAAAATGACCATGGTTTATATGACCAAGGACAGAGACCTCCCATATTTCTACAATAGGATGTGGTAAGAAAGTACTCTAATAATCACAATTAAATTGGAATGGTTGGCTAAAACTGTACCTATATAATATTGAAAGTAATAGATCCACTGACTATAACATTGAAGTGTAAATTTTACTATAATGAACATCACCGAATCTATTTGTATCTAATATAATAAATGGTCTCAAGGAGGCTGTACTAAATTTTAACTTTCAAATAACTGACTTCTGAAAAATAAACTAATATTATATTTGAAACATATATTTTCCTCAAAGTAGAATAAATTTTAATAAGTATTTAAATGTTTCATTTCAATAACATAAGACTCAATAACCCAACAAAACCCAAAATATTATAAATAACATACAAATGTGCTAAACAAAAAATACTTTTAGATGAAATAAAGACAATGGGTATGTTCATATTCTACATATTTTCATATCGACAGAAGAGAAAATGACCCTCATCTAAAAAAATTCATACCATTCTGCCGAAACTGGTTTGGCTCAGTGGATAGAGCGTCGGCTTGGGGACTGACGGGTCCCGGGTTCGATTCTGGTCAAGGGCATGTACGTACCTTGGTTGCAGGCACATCCCCAGTAGGGGGTGTGCAAGAGGCAGCTGATCGATGACTCTCTCTCATCGATGTTTCTAACTTGCTATCTCTCTCCCTTCCTCTATGTACAAAATCAATAAAATATATTAAAATAAATAAATAAATAAATCCATACCATTCTTACAAGATATTTAGAACATGAATATAGACTTAATATCTTATATTTCCTATTAATGTCATTAATTACATTTTCTATTTTTAACAATCTAATTTTACCAAATTCCAAACTAGTTGAAAGTCTTACTTAAAAAAAAAAAAAAAAAAAAAAAATCACAGAGCTCACTTGAAGGTAGTTCCAGGACTTGAGCTCAGGCATCCTGACTCCTAATCCAGAAATTTTTCCTGCAAGACTATACTGGCTCCATAAAAATAAGTGGGTTACAAAGTATTTCAATAAATGAACACTCACTGAAAAGGATTAATAAAAAAAGACAGTGCTTCTTCAGCTAATAATTTCCACTTAACAAAATACAAAGTCAAACCTGAGAGAATACGCTAACATAAACATACTAATTAGTTGTATAAGCCACCAAAAGACTATGCAGACAATAGTCCAAATTAATTCATTAGAGGTGTAAACATGCAAATATGTGACATCTTCAAGGTTCATCTCTCATCTCACAAGTATTTCCTAATTGACATGTATCCCAACAAACTCATCTGCTGACAGTTTTTAAAACCTCTTTTCTAGTGTTTTTACTAGTAGCACTTAATTACCTTGATTTAAACCATTCCTATGGGCATGACCAAATGTTCAATAATAATAAATCAGTTTAACTTTTAGAGGGCCTAGATTTTTGTTTGCCTTGATTTCATTTTTTATTCTAAAGATACATTCAAAATGATCAAGGATCATAAATGCCAATGATAAATAATACATTTTCAAAACAGTAAATACTCCATTATAATCTCACAAAATTAAAACAATTACACAAGCAAAATTAAGGTAAATAATAGCACATACCTCAAAACCACCAAAATCATCATCATCCATTCTTCAAGCGCACCTGAAAATAACAGAAAACACTGAAACAAGCCCACACACATACAGTCAATTATGTCAAAACACTCTCTGATTTAAAGGTATATATAGTTTTATTTGTAAATTAAGACTTTTATTTGGTTTTTAAAAAAAAACTTCTTTAACTATATGTGCATGCATTTTTAATTTGAAAAGATTAGACTTTTTTTTTTTTTTTGAAAATTAGTCTTTCTGGCAAAATTAGTAATTTCTGTGACTTTTTTCAGCAACCATGTATTTTGCCATTTTACATTGAGATGCCAGGAGTGGAAAAATATTCTTTTACATTTTAATTTGCTTTTCCCAAATTGGCACTAGGGCTCAATTCAATAATGCTTCCTGCTTTTTGCATCTATTCCTCAGTTGTCTGGCAACATCAGCACAAACTCCAGCTAAGAACAGGACTGTGGTGAATTTTTGGAAATCTGTCCCCCACCACAAAGGTTCTTCCCTTGGTTTCATGGCCGAGGTTGATTTAGATTTTCAAAATTGATCAGCATTTTTGAGCTGTGGCCACAACTTCTGGAGCATTTTGATATGTGTATTTTTAGCTGAAACTGCTTCGCACTTTTGGAAAAATGTGGAGCAAGTTACTAGGCTGATCAAGATAAATCAAGTCATGTATTTATGTGAGACCAGGGAAGAGAAAAACACGAGGGAATATTCAGAATTCCACTCTTCTTTATCCTTAAGGTATGTAAGGGAGATAATCAGTAGGATAATACATTTTATTTTATCTTAAGTGTATATAAATAAAAACAAAAGGAGAAAACCATGAGTACTTGGACTTTAAAAAAAGAAAAATTATAAGCTGCAAGTGATACTCTGGCCAACTATAACTTGTTTCCTTTCCTAGATTTCAAAAGTAAACATGTCCACATATATGACACACATTTAACACCCTAATTGCTCAATTGATGTTTCCTTCTTTACAGATTTAACACCTTGGAATTAATAATTATTCAGAGTGTGTATACATTTTTGGAACATTCCAGTTTCCTTGAGTCAACAACACAAGATGGACTTATTACAAAAAATATATGTATATAGTCTCTAATTATAAATAAAAAATAGCTAAAGCTAAGTAATAAGTAATAATTCTAAAGGCATTTCCTAAGATATTTTGCTCTGAGTGATAAGGCAGTTGTCTATGTAAACGTGGTTATCTGTATCTATGCTTTGCCTTCTCAATGAAATTAATATTAATGCCTTCAAAAATAAAATAGTCCAAAAATAAACAGTAATAGAATCTCAAGAACTGTTTTGTTTTAATATGCAAAAAAAATTGTTTTCAGAGAAAATCAGAAGGTAATGGCACTAACAGAAATATATGTAGACAAAAATACATTATATAAAGAACATTAAATTAACCAAAATTTGATACCAATATTGTCACCATTACCCACATTTTAACAACATGATGAAAATATTTTTAAAGATGTACATTTCCAAAATTCAAAACTAAGCAAGTCATCCACATACTGCACTTAAAAAATATAAACCAGACTTTCAAAACTTTTGATGGTGGTTAGTTTGAAATGGAATTCACATTAATTTTGTGTTGCAAGCGAATAGAAATCTGTATGTGATTACATTTTTTCATGAAGAAATTATGAAAGGGGAGTGATATGGATACAGAGAATTAACCAAGTCAAACTATAAACACCAAGTTGTCTTTTCCACATGTATCCCACAAGTCTCCGGAGACAATTAAAAAATATTTTTAGCATCTATGAACGCTGGACCCAAATAATATGGTTTCAAAAGAATGGAATTTTTAGAGTAATGCTTCTATGTGTTTTTCTAAGTCATATCCCAATAAATTATTTGTAAGATGCCAGAAAATTTAAAAACAAAAACAAATACCCATGCCTAACAATCATTTCAGCTTTGTTTGCCTGTGGTAATGAACCAAATACCATCAATTTCCTAAGTACTGTTTTAACTCTACAAAAGAACATATTAGTGACCACTGATGTTTCCATACCTCAGCAACTTCTATATATTAAAATGCAGATGCTACTCTACTCTGTTCTCAAAGTAATATTAATATACTTTAAAAGACAAATGGGTCATGAGTTTCTTAAAAATAGAGTACTAGAAAAACAAACATTATTTTAAAGCAATAACCTTTCTCTGAATAATTTCATTTCAAACCCTGAAATAGTTTCCTGCAGAACATTTGAAAGATCAGGAGGAAAAAAAATTACAGCACTGATCTGTAAAAATCCATTTTACAAAGTACACACACACAAACTTAGTTTTTAAAAGGAAAATTACTAGTACAGACTTCTTTATGAATTTAGCCTCTCTAATATATTCAAACATTATTTTATCAAAAGTGCATTTATAAACTTTTTGGAATATTTCTAAGCACTTCACATTATATGTCATTACACTACAAATATAATGTAGCAATACCAAATATATCTATCATCTAAATTATAGAATTAGAAACTGGCTATTTAAATGAGCCTGATTAAAAATTGATAAATATGTAGTTTGTTTTTTTTTTCACTGTCCAGGAAATAAGAGAAGTTATACTTTGTTATGATTAGGTATCTATATTGAAAGATTTCATAATATGCAAGTTTAATAATTCTCATACTTCTTTATATCTGAACTTAATCTCTTTTGCTGCACTGGTATATTAATTCCTTCTTTTACAATTCTCATTATTTAATACACTGCTAATATTTTGCAAGAACAAGATATATACAATACTTAATGTAACAAATTTTTATTGGGCAAATCTGAAGAACACTCAAGGTCCCTAAGGACTTACGGTCAGGTGTGGGAGAAAGGGCAGAATGTAAGAAAAGCATGCAAACATAATATGAGATATAAAAGAGCCACAAGAAAGAAGAAAATATGTCAAATGTGGAAGCATAGATTTTCCTAAGGTGATATATCTAATTGGATAATTATTAAATGCCTCAGGTGGGAACATTTGAGATCTATTTCAATAGACCTAATGGCAAATTTTAAATGGCACATTAAGAACATGTAATTTATTTCAAGTCTCTTGCCAAAAGTCTTTTCTTAAAAGATAGCAAAGAATTGTTTTTGATTGTTTGCTTCCTCATAACACAGGGTCGAAGAGAATATGAAATGAGAAAACTGCAAAATTTGAAAGTAACCACAAGGAAGTTGTATCTTAAACTACCAATGAGAAAATGAAAATCACATCTATATTACAGAATCCACAAAAAGCTCCAGAATGGATGCACTGAAAGTTGGGTAATGGTGAGAATTAAAATAACAGTTGCAGACAAATCCAAAATTCCCTTTTAGAATCTGCACAACTAGCAACTTACAGCTCCTCATCTCTGCAAAAGATTAAAGGTGTATTCCCTGGATAGGGTAAAGCTGAGGGTCTCTGGATTGGAAGACACTGAGACAGGTATTTTCTTACAACAGAAGTAGATGATATGTGCTTCAACTATGCAAAGAAAAATGTGGAACAGAATAACTTATCTGATCGTATAAAAGCTGTAAAAATACCACAGAAGATACTTCTGATGGATGCTCTTAATGAAGAATCTGAGATAATCTATGACTTTTGCATGGGCGATCCTCCTTATCAGATGAAAGCCCAGAGAGTAAACTCTTAAAATCCTTGAAGACCTCCACCTAGTATCACAGAGATCATGGCAGAAGGAGGTGAATTAGAGTTTGTTAAAAGGATCATCCATGACAGTTTACAACTTAAAAAAAAGATTGCATTCGTATAGCTATATGCCGGGAAAGAAATGCAGCCTTGCTCCTCTGAAGGAAGAGCTTCGAATTCAAGAGGTTCCTAAAATCACCTACACTGAATTCTGTCAAAGTCGGACAATGAGATGGGCCTTAGCTTGGAGTTTTTATGATGATGTAATAGTAACATCACCACCAAGTAAGCAAAGAAAATTAGAAGGAACCCATCATATTTGTAGTGTTGGAGTCTGTGATAAAAGAATTATCCCTCAAACCATCACTTTTGGGCTCGGAGACAGTGGAAGAAGTAGTTGTGATGAGATGAATTGAAAAAATTCTCACTGATCTAAAGGTCCATCATAAACGAATTCTGTATGGAAAAGTAGAAATTAGCCTTTTCCTAACAGCCATAGAAAACTCCTGGTTTCATTTAAGGGAAAGAAAAGAGAACAAGTGAGATAATTGAGAGAAGTTCCTGGAGTTCCAGAGGACATCATCCAAGCCTTGGAAGAGAAAAAAAAATTCACCCACAAAGTGTCTGTCAGTAGCCAAGATTTGGCCCAGGGCCTCCGGCAGAGTGTCCTGTGTGGGCCTGCTCTACCAGAAGGCTAGTCAGCCACTGTTGAAAGCCATGGCCCAATCCAGGATTCCCTTTCCCAGGTAGAAAACCCAGAGCCTATGTACACTAATAAAAGAGAAACATGCAAATTGAGCATCCCTCTACTACACCCACCAGCCAATCAGGAGTGGGTATGCAAATTAAGCCAACAAAGATGGTGGCAGTCATGGAGCTGGAGCAAGCAGGTGGTTTTGGTTTCCCTGGCGATGGAATAAGCCAAGCTTTCCACCTGCCCTGGCCTCCACTCAAGGAGGGACTGGGGGACTGGGTTGCTGGGGAGGTGTGGCTAGCCTGAAAATGGCCCTCAGCCCCTTAACCAGGCTGGCCACACCCCCATGGGGTGAAAGTCCATGCTGGGGAACGTGGTCAGCCTACAAACAGCCATCAGCCCCTCACCCAGGAGGTCAAGAACCCCAGCAGGGACCTCCACACTAAAGGGGGTGCGGCCAGCCTGAAAACAGTCCTCAGCCCCTCACCTAGGCTGGCCAGGCACCCCAGCAGGAACCCTGACCCTGAAGGGGGTATGGCCAGCTTGAAAACAGCCCTCAGCCCCACACCCAGGCTGGCCACGCCACCCCCTCAGTGGGGATCCTCATCCCATGGGGCCGTGGCCGGCCTGCAAACCACCACAGACCCCCGCCCAGGCTGTCCCATGCCCCAAGAGAATCAGC